GACATACTTCCTTTCAAACACTGTTTAATGTCTTGTCTGGAGAGGTCCACCTTGAGGAGTGAGGGGTCCCAGCCCTTCACTAGGCCTCCCAGCCCAAGGTTCCAGTGGCAGGAAGAGAAGTCCCCATAACTTTTGGCTGTAAACACCAGTAGGCATTGAAGTTGTGGGAAACGGAAGACTTCTGGAGTCCAAGGTATTCCTCTTAAAGGGCCCATACATGGACTTACTCAGTCTCATTCCCTCTGAGTTCCAGCACTGGGGCAGCTTTTTGAAAGGTACCAGGGACATATGGGGATGAGTTGATTTTCTGGTGTAGGGGTGAGAGCTGGAGGTGCAGCTTTCTCCCAGATAGAAGTACTGACAGAGGCTATTGTTCCTTTGCTGAATCCTCCCCCCACAGAACCAGTAGACAGACACCATACCTGAGTTCCATCAACCTAGCTCACACTCTCTGCCCTGCCATGATGATTCTTGAGTCCCCACCCCACCACCTTTTAGGCCCACCCAAGCTGTTTCCAGTAGCTTTTCTGTAGAAAGGACCTGTCTTTGCTCATGCTTCAGGCTTTATTAAAATGTCTCAAACAGGCAGCATCTGGCTTTGCAGTGCCCTCTACTCTGGCTAAGTGGCCCCAGATCACAGAATCCAACTTCCTCCAGTAAGAAATTAGAAAAACCAGTTTACATAGAACCTGACATGTTTCCTTTCAAACACCAATACATCAGCATCGTAAGATGTTAACCAGAATAGAGCTATTGCTGACATGATTCTGTTGGTTTTAGTGAGGACCTTTCCTATCTTCCTCCATTGCAAACACTATTCTAAGAAAGTTATATGGACACAATCTAGCATTAGAAATGAGACTCAGCAAAAACTGGTCTGGACGAGAACACACAAAGTTGGCACTAGTGGTAGCTCGCCCTATTCATAGTGTGGCCTCTCCTGGATACCTCCAAGCCTAGCACTAGTCGCAGCTATCTGCAGATCACTTTGTAGCCCATGGTGGGTGGCCCTGGGCAGAACACAGTGGTGGCTGACCTTCGCTCTCATCTCCCGGGATGTCCCAGAACCAGCACCCACCCACAGTGGGCAGCTTCAAACCATAATGAAGCACCACCACCCAACCACCTCGACAGGCAACACACTTAAGGCGCAGACTTAGCAGGCATCAGAGTATGTCCCTGAATTATGTCCTGCTCTATAGTGTGGGCCCCAGCACAGCTGATCTTCCATGGTAGTCAGAGGTCAGTGGTCACAATCAGTCCTTGCAGCTGATAAGCCTAGGGGTAAATCCCTCCCATTGACATGCCAATAGCAATCAAGGCTTGACTACAAGAGAAAGATGTAGACGGCCCACCAGAGGGGTGTGCCTTTAGTGCCCAGCTCAGGTGAATGGGGAGACTATGCCACTGGACCCAACAGAACACCTACTATATTAGGCCACTCTTCCAAGCTCAGGAGATGTAGCAGTTGTATCCAAAACACAAAAACAAACACAGGGAGGTTACCAAAATGAGGACACAAATGTCCCAAATTAAAGAACAGAACAAAACTCCAGAAAAGGAACTAAATAGAATGGAGACAAGCAATCTACTAGGTGCAGAGTTCAAAACACTGGTTATAAGGATGCCCAAGGAACTTAGTGAGGTCCTCAACAGCATAAAATAGGACCAGTCAGAAATGACAGATACACTAACTGAAATGAAGATTAATTTACATGGAATCAACAATAGAGTAGATGAAGCCGAGACTAAGATTAGTGATTGGGAATATAAGGAAGCAAAAAGCACCTAATCAGAACAGCAAAAAGAAGAAAGAATCCAAAAAAAAAATGAGGGTAGTGTAAGGAGTCTCTGGGCCAATTTCAAGCATATCAACATCCATGTCATAGGGATACCAGAAGAAGAGAGAGAAAGCAAGGTATTGAAAACCTGTGTGAAGAAATGGTGATGGAAAACGTTTCTAACCTGGTGAAGGAAATAATCATGAAAGTCCAGGAAGCACAGAGTCCCAAACAAGATGAACTCAAAGAGGCCCACCCTAAGACACATCATAATTAAAATGCCAAAGGTTAAAGATAAAGCGAGAATCTTAAAAGCAGCCAGGGAAAAACAGTTAGTGTCCTACAAGGGAGCGCCTATAACACTGTCAGCTGATTTCTCAATAGGAACTTTGCAGGCCAGAAAGGATTGTCAAGAAATACTCAAAGTGATGAAAAGCAAGGACTTAACACTCAAGATTACCCAGCAAAGCTATCATGTAGAATGGAAGGGCGGACAGATAAAGAGCTTTCCAGACAAGAAAAAGCTAAAGGAGTTCATCATCACAAAACCAGTATTTTATAAAATGTTAAAGGGTCTTACTTAAAGAAGAAAAGGAAAAAAAGAAAAAATATGAAAAATAAAATGGCAACAAATACATATCTATCAACAGTTGAATCTAAAAAACAAAACAAGCAGGACAGAAACAGACTCAGATACAAAGAACATTTTGACAGTTGCCAAATGGGAGAAGGGTTGGAGAGATGATTGAAAAAAAGTGAGTGGATTAAGAAGTACAAATTTCTTCTTACAGAATATTCACAAAGATGTAGGTTACAGTATAGGGAACCTGTTTAATAATCTAATCACTATGTATGGTGTCAGATGTGTGCAAGATTTATTGAGATGATCACTTGTAAGTTATGTAATGCCTAATCACTGGGGTATACACCTGAAACTAATATAATAATTTATGTCAACTGTGATTGAAAACTAAAAAATAATTTTAAAAAAGTAAAACTGAGGGGACCTAAATGACTTTATTTCATAATCTCCACTAGAGTATGAGGGAAAGACCAGAGGCGTTTAACAAGTATATCAGTGATCTTCCTTCCAGGTTGGAATGGTGGTGATCTCACATTGGATTTGCTTCAGTTGATAAAATGCTGTATGAGGGGAACATTCAAATTGTTTTTGTTCTAAATCATCATAAATTGAAGTGTAACTTTAAAAACTAGTTAAAAATTGAAGTATACAGTTTTAAAATGAAAAAAAACAAAACAACAAAGTGTATGCACTCCCTTTGGCCCCTAGCACTCCTCTGTAGGGGATGCCCTGTATATATCCATTCTATGCGCTTTGAATGAGCTGGGGTATCTACACTGGGCATGCTCATTTGAGAGGTCAGCTAGACTTTACAAAGGAAGAAAAGTCAGTACCAGAATAAATACCTGTAGGTTTTCCTATAAAAGCAATAGGTTTTTCATGTGAATACCTCTTCAGAAAAAGTTTAAGGTTTTTAAGAAGTTTCTACTTCCCCCCCAATGTTTTCATAATTTTAGCCAAAAATAGATAAAAGCCTGCATTAAACAGCTGGTCAATATTTATCCAAGGCAGTACTTTAGCACCCCCATGGTCAGGCAGTCCAGATAAACTGGTGGATGAATCACAGGCAGGCACTGTCATAGCAAGGTACTGAATAAGTATCTCCCTCTTCACCACACTCTTCAGCATAGTTACTTGAGGCTTCAAGTCTGGCAACAAAATGCAATCAGGGTCAGTACTGTGGATTTGCTTTAAAAAACAAAAACAAAAAACAATGTCCAGCTTATTTATAAACAGCTAGAAGTGAGTTGTAAACCCAGTGCTTCAGGTAGGTTTATCAGACTTTACCTGCTCAGCAGCGGTCCCTTGTTTGCCCTCAAACTAGTCCATAATTGTGCTTACTTAATAACCTCCAGGCTAAGGAGCTGATTTCAGAAATGTATTTCTGGTATTAAGGCTTGACACCCAGGTAACATTTATTGGCTCATACTTGGAGGAATGTCATCTGTAGAGCCCTGCCACTTGTACCTAATGTTCCCCCTTCCCCTCTCCAAATACCCAGGCTCCAAATACCTGGGCATGGCCCTTTGCTTTGCCATCCCCTCTACCACTGAGCTATGTGAGCTTGTGCACTTGTCCAGCATCCGTAATGCCTATCCAGGGAGTTCAGCATCTTGAAGTTGCCTGAAGACTGTGTCTCTGAGGGTCAGAAATGGGTAAAGAGCATCCCTTTTATAGATTCCAGATCTTAATGGATCTGCCATGACAGTACATTCTCTTAGTAAGCCTCCTATTTCTCACTGACAGAAAGACATGGCGCTTTTAAAACATTGAATGGTGGATTTTCACCTTAAGTTTGATGTAGCTGGACAGCAACATTTTTTAGCAAAAACTGCTAATTCAGTATAGGGAGAAAGAAAATGTCCATAACCGAGAGTTTTCTAAAGATTGAGAAGACCTTGTCATTCTACTACCCTCGTCCCAGGAACCCAGTGCTGAGTAAAGCTAGTCATAGTGCATAGGGTTTTTGGTGAATAAACCTGTAGTATGTTGCCATCTAGTGGAACATAGGCAAACTAAAGATTTATGTATTCTGACCCCAAAGTTCAGCAGAGCTAATTAAATCAGCCAGGGAAAATAACTCAAAGTATTTTCTAAAGGCAAGTGTTTTAGTAACACATGCAAATTTAGTGAAACTGAAGTTGACTTTTAGTAATCATGTTTTCTAAAAGTTGGCAAAAGTCACTCTGTTTCTCAAGTTTGTGAATGTTTAAACACTTGGGAGCTAATGCATTTTTCAAACACGTAACCAGGTAAGGACCTGGCATTTTCATTGTTATCTGTGCAGTCAACACACTTTCTTATCCAAAGTCCTAGTCAAAGACTTGGTTATTACAGGGTTATTTTAGTATTTTTTAAAAATATGATTTTTAAGTTTTCTAATACCTTTCTTACATACATTTCCGTTTTTTCCTACTAACTTCCCACAGAATACATACATTTATTTTTCAGGAGAAGCAAACCCATGACTTCACAAAGTAGGACTTTCACATTTTAAATTCTAACCAGGTCACAGAAATGTCCAGTTCTGTGATTGTAGACCTGACTTGCATGAACACCTACAGACTCTACTATGGACTCATTCATGAACATTGACTGTCTTATTGTTTCTTTGTCTTTTTGCTATGTTTGCTTAGATCCCTCCCTGGTGCCACTGCAGCTGAGTGTGCATCAAATCTAAAGAAGATCTACACGGTACAAACAGTACAGGTAAGACCCAAAGAGGGGCACATTTAATCAACTACCTTGAAAACTGCCACTGTGGTGGAAGTCCCCATCCAGGTTTCTGCTCTGGTGACAGGTCTCCAGTCCATTTTGGTGCAGCTGCCCTTGACTACGACAACCCCAGAGGACTGCTGACACGCCCCCATGGGGCCTGCTCATTTCTTGGTGAACTGCTAAAATTTATCTACTACCTAAACCTTTCACAGACCCTCATGAACAGCAGGCTGTGCTGTATTTGAAAGACAGACAGACACTGTGTCCCCATTCTGACACCAGCTCCCTGTCTGAGCTCTTATTTCCCATCTGTAAGGGGCACTGGCAGCACCTGGAGCATCACATTAGAGGAACAGGGGAGCGCTGAGCATGGAAGTGGAAGGCCTAAGACCACTTTCCTACTTCATGTTCAAATTCCATTGTCCTCAATTGGTCAAGTCTCAACCTTTTTAATTTCTGTAAAATTAGCATACTGATAGCACCTACTTTGTTGTTGTTATGAGGATTAAATAATATAATGTTTATACCACACTTAGCTGAATGCGTGATACATTGTAGATACTCAACAATTATAAGCATAATTTTATTAGTTCTTTCTGTCTCCAACTCTTAGGATGAGCACTTCTTTAAAAAACTGGTTTATTTGATCACATTTCTGTTTTATTCAAAAGCAAATTCTACAATTTTTCCCCCTTTTCTAGTTTAATACACTATTATAGAGAGAACAAGGCTTTTAAGTCTATTTCATAATTGCTTTGACCAAGTCCTGAATTTTTTAGAAGGTCATATTTAAATAGTTTTCCTGTTGTGCCCCTAATTCCTTTTACGTCATAGGAATTCTACTAGATTGGCACCTAGATTGCAACTCTTAGGCAGTCTCTCACATGCAGAAGAGAGCCTTTTTCAGAGTTTTCCCAATATCTGGCAGAAAATGTGGTATTTGTACTTATGCGGTCCCAGGAAGGGCAGTAGGTAAAGACACAGTCTCAACCATAGGCTATTTGTGATCTAGTTGGGAAAATGACATACGCATGTGGAGAGCGAAACATCAGTGCTGCTGCAATAACCAGAGACAGTTATGAGCTGCTTTCCCTTGCTTCTCTCCTGTGGTGAAGCAGCTATTTAAACCTCAGAGCGCTCCAACTTAAAGCCTGTTCTCACATGAAAGATCTTAGATCCCATAGATTTTTGAGGGACTAATTAGACTCTTCTTTCCATTATGGCATTGGATTGTCGGAGCTGTGCCTTGGATTCCAAGGCAGACTGGCCCACCTGGGTGCAGTCAGATGAAGGGGTCATTTGGGTCCCCCCTGCTGCATGATGACACAAAGCAACTGACTGAGCTTTGGCACCTGCAGCAACTTAGGGGCTTCAGGGACCACTTTAGAGTACCCAGGCTGGTACATGCTAGGAAATGCTTTCTTAAAAACTACATTGGCATATAGTTTATATTTAGTTAATGGAAATTTCATAAGTGCACAGTTTGATAAGTTTTGGCGAAGGTATACAGACATGTATCCATCACCCAGATCAAGATACAAAAGTTTCCATCGTGCCAGAAAGCTCCTTTGTGCCTCTTTTCAGTCAGTTCTCCCAGAAGCAACCACTATTCATATTCCTGTCACCATATATTCATTTTGTTTTTCTATTGAATCTCATATAAATGGGATCTGAGAATACTTATTTTGTCTGGTTCCTATTACTCAGTAAATATATCAGGGTTGGATGAACGAGTGAGAAATTAATAAATGAACCATGTTCCTGAGTCACAACAAATTGTTCTTATAAGGATCCATTAAGCTGTAGGCTGTACATTCTCAATGGGGGCAAAAATGGATGCTTGGTGAGCAAAAAAATCTTTTATGTATAAAGCACAAATATACCTACAGTACATAAACACATATACAGTCTCTCTGTGGTATTAAAATTTCACAAGGGAGTGATAAGGAGAAAGGGCTCCTTCAGGAGCAGAGGTGATAATAAAACACTGATCTGAGTGGACAGGCAGTTCTGTCATATCTCAGAGGTCTCTGTCTCCTCAGTTTCCTCATTTGTAAAACTGAGATTATAACAGTGCCTACTTCCTCCAGTTGACTGAGGGCTAATTGAAGTTGCATAAAGTTTTTAGCAGGACTTGGCATTTAGCCCTTAGATTTCATAGACTTTTACTTAAGTGTTGTTGGGTTCCACCCCTCACCTCCATCAGTTGCTTGGCATGGATGTGGGCTCTGGTTACACTGCCTGGGTTTATGTCCCCTATCTGCTACAGACAACCTCGGGCAAGTTGCTTAAGTTCTCTGTACCTGCTTATATATCTTTAGGATGGGAGTAATTGTGACACCAGTTGTATCACGAAGTTGTGAGAATTAAGTGGTATAAGAAATAGAAGGCACTAGCAAGGGTCCAATCATCATAATAATCAGCTCATCTGCCATCGTTCGCCTACTTCTACTGCAACATCTTTTTACTTTTTCAGTCATGTTTTATATCAGCGAACTGTGTGCTGCTATTTCTAGATTGATTATTTCAAGTATTTATAGCACAGCTAACACCCATGTGTAGGACAACATGTCTATACCAATAGACATTTTGGGATTTCAGCCCTTGAGTATCCTTAATATCTGTGAATAGTCCTTAGTACTTAACAGCTAGCCTAGGTGCCCATCTTAAAGTCATTTGAAGACTTGATTTTGTCCCACTGTCTTTTTATTCTGTGGTTGTAAGTTAATCCTTGAATTTTATGTTAGCACTAAAAAACTGCATCCCTAATCATGTCTGTTTCTTCCCCATTTATGTTTGGAGGACGTGAAAGAATCATGCTTTGCATAAAGACCATGTATCTTTTTGTACTTTGAGGTCATTCAGCATATCAGAGATCTTGATAGAGTGGGGGAATAATTATGCCTGTTTATTAGTGGGGAGGCTGAGGCTAAGAGGTAAGTGTCCCAAAACAGCCAGTGGAAACAGCCAGTGGAAACAGCCAGCCATGCCGTGTCTCTGGGATGGGAACTTCGTTGTCCCACTTCTATCGAGTTCAGTTCTCTTTCTTTAATTCCCCATTGACTGAGGAGGTGGGTGCTTCCAGATGGCCTGGTGACCCCTGCTGAGGACAGTCTCATCAGAGCCAACAATAATTCTGCCTGCTTGGGCTTAAATGTATTTCCCACTTTCCTGCCTTTCTTGGAAAGTTCCATTTTTTCATGTAGATTTGTTTTTAAGATGCTTATTTCTTTTACTCTCTTGTAAACATTTCCAAATGTTCTACATTTCTCCTGCGTTTTTATGTCCTAAATTGATGCTCTACAGAGTAAAACAAAGCTTCTGAACAAGGCTGATTTTACCTGTGAGAGAATAAAGACCTACCTGCCAATGTGATTTACAAGAGAGGGCTCCCTCACTCCCAGTGTCTTCCAGCCTTGCTACCACAGATCAAAAATTGCACTCTGAAAACTCACCCCTGTGTATCATCAGCCCCTCCTCCGTTGTTGGTGTTGTCACTTCAAGTTCTGCTACATTGTATCTCATTTGTACTGTATTCTACCCGATATTTCCCATAAGCTCACTGATTTTTTACTTATATTTAAATAAAAGACACTTCATATTTCTTCTGTAAATGGAATCATAAACATCACTTATTATAAACAGAAGATGTTCTTAAAAATATATAAAATCTATGAAAATTAAGAAAATGTTCCTTCTGTGACTATTACATCAAGACATCATCCTTTATCAGAAGTATGGGGTAGTAGTGTCACAGGTCATTAAGTTAGGACAGCAGATGGCTTTCCAAACCCCTGGGAAGTGAGGCTGCCCCTTTCAGAAGGAGAGGTTTTATAAGTCAGTATTGATAACGGAGAATGATGGGAAGATTGAGTTAAACTACTCATCTCCCTGGACACAGAATGGCAGCTCAGGGTGTGTGGTGTCCTGCAATAGAATAATCTGAATGTAACCATCTCAATGAATGGGGTGGTGGGCATAAAGCAAGATAAACTCTATACCAAAAAGAGAGAGAGATGGACTTGAGGCAAGATCTGGTTCATTATTTCTGGCTATCACAGGCTAATAATAATAGGATTCTTTATTATCATTTAATTATTCATTACATGTACGGGATCAACATTTTTAGTCATGACCTAGTTGTGCAGAAATAGAAGTGGAATCACCCGTGTCTCATTCAGGTCCTGTCAAGCACGGGGCGGGGCACAGCAGAGTGGAGAGACCAAATCTTGCAATGTAAAAGTAATTTAGTTGCTTCAAAGGTAAAACTTGGTATCTTCTGAAAGAGATCAGAATATGCCAGTTACAAGGATTATTCTGAGCTGAAGGCAATTGAGAAACAGTAGACACAGTTGTTTCTGCCTAAAAGCAGGGCCTAAATTCCGCTGTGTAAAGGACCCGCCCCCTCCTTTCTCATCACTTGAGTCTACATAACAAACCTCACTAAACAGCCCTTATTGACCATATATTTCCTGGTCACCTTCTAGGAGCCCGAACTCCAATTATTTTTGTTTAGTCACTTATTCACAGTGTATCACCCTTTGTTAAATGGAATCTGAGTTCACCCAGTTCTTTGGGTTTTATATGAAGCCCCTTTATACTTAAAAATATTAGCATCAATAAAGAACCATCTATACCTATGGGCTTTACCCAGGTAGCAGGCTACACACTGCTCTGCTGTTTCCTCCAACTTTTCAGGAGCTGGGACTCTGTCTTAGTCACTCAAAGTTCAAAGCCCACTTAGCTCCCCAGCTAGAACTTGTTTTTCTCTATTGACTCCCTGTATGGTTGGAAATCGCCCTGACATCCTTCATCGTATCTTCTTGACCATTAGTCCTCAAAATTTGGGCTCTCACTTTAAGTCAAGCCCTTTGGGAATTCAAAGCAAAACGCATTTTTGTCTCCAGTAAACAGCTCTTGCAAATCAGAAGCACTTTGTTTTCAGCCTGTTGTGTCTGCTGTGAGTTAAAAACATCCATTAAGCTCTTCAG